TCAGCTCCTACTTGTTGAGTAAATTATTGACGCTATGTACAAAGAGAGGAAGAGGGTACTAGAATGTAGGGAAAAATTATGTAACTTAAGAAGTTACATTGTCCATATTACTCTTCCTTACATGAATTTGCAATGCTAGGAAGAAGGCAGTTGTACAAAAGTTCAGGTTAGGTAATCAAAAGAGGAAGAAAATTAAGAAGCTGAGAGCAAGCTCAGAGCAAAGAGAAATTAACGATAACAGTAAGTATAGGAATCTTATAAGGAAGGAAGAGAATCTTTCTTTTAAAATTCTTTGCAGAAATTATTTAACTTAACACATTGTTAACACAATTTTGAGAGGTTAGTTTGGGTAAATTAATGCCAGTAACCTTTGGAAAGTTTATTTAATTAGTGGTTATGCTTTGACATTACCGCTAAGTATTTGAAGTTGTATTTAATTTACAGTCAGTAGAGATATAACGCCATTACAAAAAAGCAACGAAAATGTATAATAAAGGGGTGCATGTTTTCTGTATGTGTGTATTCTTCTAGGGTTTGGCATGCTGTCTCTGCTTGCCCATCCAACATCAGGGGATCCCATGTACCATGACTCTCTTCTCTGTGCCTGCCTGTTTCTCTCAGTTCCTTCATATGACTTCTGGGGGTATAGGCTTGGAATTCTCTCACAAATCTGCTCCTCTTTCATGATTTTCAGGTCATAACACATACCTCAGTTTATCAGGAAACATTCTTCTAACTCTACCCCACCCCTCCACTGACTCACCCCCAAGATGAAACTTTGGTATTCCTACATGGTACTTGTCAGTTTATTTGTATTATTTTTAAAAATTATTATCTCCTGAACTTTTATTTACCAAAGAGTAAAAATTGTTCAGATTTGCTCAACATGTATTCCCAGTGCCTGGGTGCTTCTTGTTATATAATTGCACAAGAAAACAATTGCTGAGTAACTAAGTGACAGGATTCACCAATCTCCCAAAAGACCAAGGAGGTCAATGACAACAGTATGAAGAAGAAAGATGGAGAATACTTTCACCTCATATGTGTTATGTCCTACAAGTGGGTTCTAAACTTGGCAGTAAATATCTAGTCAGGTCAGGTCACAAAAACAACCTATAAACACGATACCTTGTATAATTTCAAATGTCCCACAATTAAAAGGGGCAATGGAATATTTGTGTTGGAACTAAACTCCAGAAGGTAGTTATCATATAGGTATTTCATCAAGTGATTCTTGGAAGGACAGTAAACTCTATAAATAACCATTTTATAAAAATAATGAAATACTATTCAAATAAATAGTTCTTAAACTGACCTTCTGGAAAGGCAAAAATATAACATTAAATCAAATTTCAAAAAGTGCCTTTCTGTAAAGGATTGGAGAAATAATGTATAGTCAGGCACTTTACTTTCTAATCATCTTACCTAATGCATTGATAGAACCTGAAAATACTAGATGGACAGCTAATATGCCCATTAACCTGTCTCAATCAAATATCAGATGTCTTAAATGAATCTTCAGTAGGTGGTGAATCAAAGCCAAGATATAAATTAATTTTCTTTCAGAAATGTGTAATGCTTTTTTGTAGCACAAAGAGAAAGATGTCCTTTGAAATGTCAGATATGAGAGGGAATGACTTTGGTCTTCTAGTGTAAGTATTTGAGACAAATGAATGTTATAATTATTATAGAGCCAATGTCAAGTCTGAAAATGACTTATGATTTCCCGGGGAATCACACACCTTCCCAAAGAAATTCTGTTCTTCCTGTTAATAATTCCAGATACATTGAAAATAACTTTTCAATTCCAACATCTTTACTAATATCATACTAATTTTATAGACACCAATAGATTTTTGTAAGCCAAATACCATATCATTTATAATAGCTAATAATGTGAAGACCTATTTATTTTCAAAGGACTATATTTGCCTTTCAATTCTGTGAAAGAACGGTATTTTTCCTAATAGAAAAATGAAAAATTTGTTTTGTATCATTGAAATGGTATTTTATCCCATTAATAAAGATACTAAATGTAAGTTTTTAACTCATAGTAAGTAATAGCTGGAGGTATACTTTTTCTTTACTACATCTAAATTTCATTATATTTAAAGATATTAGAATATAATGTTTCTGTCCTTGGTACTAGTCCAGGTGACTTTAACATAAAGTACCATAAAAACAAAAATGTTCTCACATTTGTCCAACTATAATATCACCCTACAGGATGAATTCTGAAGTTCTAATAAGATTAGAAAAAGTAGTGTGTCCTAGGAAAAGTACAGACTTCAAAGTAGTACATTTAATAATTATATACAATAGTCAATTTTTTAACATAATTTGATATTTTCCCAAGAAATTAAGGGAATGATGAGAGAATCCTGCCATGTAAATATGGAAGGGGGAAAAGGGGAAAGGCTGAGGCAGGGCTGTGGAGGGTACTTATGGAAATGACAGTAATTCAGATTAATTGGAAGTCAAATTAATGGTATCCAAATTGTAAAGTGTGCTCAGACAGAAAAGTGATGTCTTAGAAAGGCAAGGAAGTTATTCAGAAATCAATACAATGTTATTCATTATTATAGAGCAGGGGGGATATGAAATCTTCATGAAATTGTTATGAGAATTAAAAGTTTGTTTTTTAAAAAAAACTTATTCTTAGCTACACAAAGAAATAATTTCTGCATCTGCAATGGGACTTTGCTAGAGAAACATAGGGAATCACATAATGCCGATGGCTTTTGCAGAGTCAGGGAATCTTTTTCGGTTACATTCACCCTGAATGTGATTGCTGTTTCTGAAATCCAGAGATGCCCCTTAGTGTTCCTCGAACTCAGCAGCATGACTAAGACTGCAAATATGTGAAGCAGAGAGCAGAGACGTCCATGGAAACACAGTTGCTAGACGTTGAAGATGATAATTTTGAACACGATGATAAACTGACATTTATCATCATTTAAATTATAAACAGGTAAATGTTCAAAAACTGATTCAAACGGAAGATGTAGTCCAGCATGGGGCATGAAAAAGAATCTGTACCATTCACGGAGGGGAAGACCGCAGGAGTAGAGCCGGTCATGCTGGGTGAGGGAGTGATATGTTCGGATCTGCACATGCTGATTTGAGAAATATCAAATGGGCATGCCCTGAAAGAGACATCTCTGGTTCCGTAGCTCTCCAAGGAGAGAGGGATCCTGCCTGGAGGAAGAGTGACTAGAGATCACAGCTGCTAGTATGGGAGGGGATGAGGGTGTCTTAAGCAGAGTGCATTGGTTGCATCCATGAAAGAAACCAGGGGTCCCCAGGGAGAGAGGAAGCTGCAACCCAGACTAAAAAGTAGTCAGGAAAGAGACACTGGAAGAAAAAATAGGAGAGTATGGGTGTCCTGAAAGCCAAGGGAAGTCTGCACTTAAGGAAGGAAGGGTAGTTCCCTAGGGTCCAATGATAGTGGTGCGATAAGGTAAGGAACTACTAACCCATTTATATCAAAAAGTAGTTAGTTACTTTGTATAACAAATTCGCCATTCTGCTTTTGAGTTTACTCATTCTAATTTTAACTTCTGCGAGTTTCTGCATTTTTTTTCTTTCCTCTCAAGTAAGTAATTGGGTTGGCAGACAAACCTCTTAAATATTGCCAGCAGAGAATGCCTTCTGCTTGAAAGCCTCACCTTACTATTTTTTAGCAATACTTGAGAATTGGGGAACATATTTTTGGCCTGATCGGGGTTGCATAATACATTCCCAGCATGTTTTTGTTTCTTTGTTTTTGAAGAACATTTTTACGATAATGATAGTAAATGAATTATGAGTGACTGATTTGGTTGTATAGTAACCTCATGCCTGTATAAAACTAGAAAGCAAAAAAAAGTGATCATAGTGTGTCCCAATCAAATTCATGTTTGAAAAAGAGCTTTAAAATAGTCTGTTGATATAAATAAAAGAAAATAAACAAGTTTTAATAATACAAAGTACAAGTATTGAAATTTATTTGAATTTCAGTTATATAGAAACTTAAACAACCATTATATTATTACATAATAACTTACATATTTCAAAACCCATGTGTGCCATGCAGTTTTATTGAGGCACAAAAACCTCAAATACTGAAAACAATCAATTCAATAATAGTAAAGTACATGTTACAAGTGAATTATAAAATGCAAATTTCACTATATTCCCTGATTGTACAAAATAAAATTCAGTAAGTAAACTATCTCTGTCTTAATATGTGTGCTATAATGGTATTTAAGTGATTTAAGAAAACAATTGTAGGTATACCAATTAGGTTGCACACAAGAATTCTTATTTGAAATGTAATCTATAGGCTATTCGATTACAAGCAAGTCCTTGATTTGCATCAATATTCATGGAGCATGTGATTAATCTTTTTCATGTTGTTTCCATTGACTTTCTAAGAAGGACTTATATAGTGCTGTTTTTAATAATTTATCTGAGTAATGTACTACATAGGCTTATGAGCAGTGCTGTTTCATTCATTCCAAAATAACTATAAATTCTTCTTCAAGGCTTTAATTTTCATACATCTTGATACATTGTCTTTACACGGTCAAACAGGAAACTAACTAACGTGAAGGAGGAATATCATTTTCACTGGGGGGTTTCAGCCACAATTGAATAGGCATTGTTGTTCTGTTATGTTTGCAAGAAGCGTAATTGGAAGCCAACAAAGCCCTTTCTAGAAGAACATGCCAGCTTTTTAAAAAGCACAGAGTGCACTAAATAAAAGGGGTTGATAAAACACCTGTTGAAGTTTTTACTACATGTTAGTGTCCCTGTAAGCAGGTGGGCAGGTACAACAGAAAAGCCAAAATCAGTAAGTCATAAATACAGAAACATTGCTTTCAAAAAAAAAAAAAAAAAGTAATGCTGGTAAGACGTTATTTTCATTTATCATATATGTGATAAACACCTTATGTTTAGTCATCATTTCACACAAAACAAGCGTAAAATTTTTCTTTTTCCTGAATCGATGTAAACAGAGCCCAGACGGCCGTATCGAAGTCAAAGGGCAGCATGGACGCTCGTCACTGCATATTAAAGATGTGAAGTTGTCAGATTCAGGGAGATATGACTGTGAAGCTGCGAGTAGGATTGGAGGGCACCAAAAGAGCATGTACCTTGATATTGAATGTAAGTCATTTTCCTTTTGTATGTTTATTAAAACAACTTTGTCTGCTTTGAAAAATACGAATTTTAGTAGGATCCTCCAAATACCTCTGTAGTTCATAATTCCGTATTTGACGGATAGCTCTAGAACTAACGTGGCCATTCAAAGTCAGTTATTAGAGACATCTAGTGGATGTTATAGGACATTTCACAGTGCTATAAATTTAATGGTTTTGATACTGCTTATTCAGAAAATTGTGATTTTCTTTTATGCAGTGTTTAAGCCAAACACAGTATAAATTGAATTGCTTTAGTTATCAGTTATTTGTTAGTATCTCCTTAGAGTTTTATCTGTTTACTTATAATATTAACGGCCCTGTGTTTCACCTGAGTAGTTATTTTGTTGAATTATTTTAATTCTCATAAGATATGAAGTAGTGTTTTTAAAATGATTGAATATATCAACATTCATATTTTATCAGAATAATGCTTGTTGTCTGTAAGTGGGAATTATGACCTGAGATTTGGAGAATATGAGGGCTGATGTAAACGCACAATACACCTTATATCATTGAGTGGGATTTTATGTCATATATATGTTCACAAAAGGGAAGAAATTTAATATTATTTTCAATAAATATTCAGGAATCATCAATGTTGGAGATTCTCTGATGTTCAAGAGGACATAACTGTCATAGTGGGAGTGTACAAGATACTCTGATCGACAAAACATTCCTATTGGAGAATTTCTAGTACATTAATAGTGATAGAAAGTGGTGATAACTGTGATATAAGATTATTTTCTTTTTGAGAATGTCTCTAGAAAGCAAATATTTCCTCAAGAACAGACACAAATAATCCATATTATTTTACATATTCATAAGTGTTCTTATTAAGAAATTCATGAAAAGGCCACTTATACAATTGCAAAAAATTATGGAAGATATTAAATAATTATTTCACAAAGTACAGGTTTCATTTGCTAAAGTTAGAGAATCTCCAAGAAAGTTGTTTAATTGCCATCGTATTTCGATGATGGCATAACATAACAGAACAAGAGACGAAAAAGGCATGTTATTCAGGACACACAGAGAAAGAAGTGATGCTAATAACTAATTTAGCTTTTTTCCTAATAGTGTTTTCTGCTATTTTCTCATTATTTTATACATACATATATATAAATAAGCTACATATTAATATATATATCTTTTTCAAGTCATCAGCACTTGTAACAAATTAGAACTATTTCTCAAACTTTCAACACATTTGTTTAGATTTTGTAATTCAAAATATGTATTTGAATCCAAAATTTACTTTATTATTTTTTTCTTTTTCTTTAATGTGAATCTACATGAGCACAAATTTAAGGGTGCCAAAACATGATTTATATTAGAGCTGTCCAACCTGTTTGGAGGACAAGTTCATAGACTACTCCCAGCCTCTTCTCACTGTGCTAAAAAAGTGGTAGGAATCATATTCTCTTAATAAAACTTTTTTTAAAAATTTTTATTTATTTATTTTTTTAAGATTTTATTTATTTATTTGACAGACAGAGATCACAAGTAGGCAGAGAGGCAGGCAGAGAGAGAGCCGCGAAACAGGCTCCCTGCTGAGCAGAGAGCCTGATGTGGGGCTCTTTCCCAGGACCCTGGGATCATGAGCTGAGCTGAAGGCAGAGGCTTTAACCCACTGAGCCACCCAGGCACCCCTCTCTTAATAAAACTTAATTTAGTTTTTTCTTTTTCTTTGCATTTTGTAAATATTTAAAAGCTTATTTGACATATCATAGAATTATTACTAAATCACTGCTGTAGGTACTCAGAAAAGTGGAGCTCAGGAGAAATGAGCACTGTCGATGTTTCCAAAACCCAATGAGGCTTACTGGGTCATATAGGCAATATTGGGTAGCTGTACCAGTGCTAGGATTGATGCTAATTAGTTGTGTGACCTGCATCCCTGGGACCTCAGTTTCCATATGTGTAAATTAGGAGGGTTGAAGGAAGAAATTCTTGGGGGTTTCATCATACCTAACCATTTAAAAGTACATAGCCACATCCTTCAAAGGTGTCCTAGAACTTCTGAATTGCCCTCCATGCATGCCTACCTAAGTTTTAATTATGAAATAAATAAAAAAGTTAAATTAAGATCTATAATTTCTGTGTCTATGTTTTAAAACCTCATTGAAAAGAATTTTAAAAAACCATACTAGATCAAACTTAGGGTGTTTTCATTAAGCTGTTTAAGATTTAGAATCAGTACTGAGTGACTGTGGACACAAAATAAATAAAACGGAGCTCATGCTTTATTAGAACACTGGGATTGACAGAGATTTAAATCAAACCTCAACTTGAATTCAAATTTTGAAGTGATGGATGGAGAAAAATATCAAGATAATGTGAAATGCTGATATAAAATGATGTGAGATTTGTAGTTATTAATGTTTTCAACTAGATAGAAAATAATGGGGTAAACACATGATTGTATATATCAGTACAGAGTGCATGTTCTTGTGATCTTTTAATAAAATAAATACTTTAATACAAAAAAAAGCACTTAGAGCACTCTGTTTTTCAAGGATTGATACTACAAGGTACAAGTTGCTTTTGATTACAGAGGTATTCCTCCTTTGCTTTAAAGGTTTAAACATTGGTCAGCCTGTTTAATTTTCTGAAGTAAATGTTTAGAATAAAGCTCATGAGCAAATAGTATCTCTTATTTAGGAAGGATTTTTTAAAAACTTGCTTTGTAAAAGAATGTTTTGAGAATTCTTTGAACATTCCTTGAGACTGTTGTTTCTTGTTGATTAGAAGCTGGTTAGATAGAACTATTTCAAAAATCATAACATAGTTTTTTTTAACTATTAAACCATTGTTTAAGATTAATTTTTGTTTTATTTTATTGATAGCTTTCAGAGCACGTGATCAATTTTTCCTTTTTTTAAGAAATTAAATACTTAATTTCATTCTTCTTTAGTAAAAATAATTAGAACAATAAATATCCCCTGTTGACAACTTTATTGAAATATAGTTGGACCACAGTACAATGCCGATTTATGAAGGGCAAAATGTGATCAGTTTTGACATATGGTTGTGCCTGCAAATCTGTTACATCATCTAAACAAACATTTACATCACCCCCATGAATTTTCTAAAGCTCCTTTGTAATGTATTTATTCGTTTACTCTCCCTCCCAAGCAAATGTTAGTCTGCTTTCTGGCACTATAATTTAGTTGCACTTCCAGAACTTTATATACAGAATCATACATTAATTTTAATTTTTTGCTAAGCACTTTCAGTCAGCATGCGTTGATATGTTGAATATGAATCAAAAATTTATAATGTGTTCTTGTCTTTGCATTGTATGGACAGAACAGAGTTTGTTTGTTTATTCACCTGTTGATGAGCATTTGGTTATTTTTAGTTTAGGGCTACTACAAAAAACTTTTGTGTACATTTTTGAACATTGTGTGGACATAGTTCTTTTTTTCTAGAATAAATATGATTCTTAGAAGAGCAAAAGATTTAAATTTTGCTCAAGTCCAGCTTATCAAATTGAACTCATATGTGATGTTGTTCATGTTCCTTCTAAGCAATCATCATCTAAACAAAGGCCACAAAGATTTACGTCTAGACTTTCTTTTTTATTTTATTTTATTTTTAAAGATTTTATTTTTAAAGATTGTTTTTTAATTTGTTTGACAGAGAGAGCACAGGCAGTGGGAGGGACAGAGGGAGAGGGGAAGCAGATTTCCTACTGAGCAGGGAGCCTGATGCAAGACTGGATCCCAGGACCCCCAGGGATCATAACCTGAGCCTAAGGCAGATGCTTAACCAACTGAGCCACCCAAGCGCCCCCTAGGCTTTCATTTAATGTTTTGTTGATTTAGATTTTGCATTAAATCTGTGATCTGTTTTGGATTCATTTTTATGGAGTCAATACATATTATTTTTTCATACATCTATCAAAATAATTCAGCACTATTTTTGAAAAGACTTTCCTCTTTCTAACCAAGGATTTGCCAATACTGTTGATATTTACAAAATACTAGCTTTGGGTTTTGTTAATTTACATTCTTTATATATAAATCTATTTTCTAATTTGTTGGTTTCCATTTTATTTTCATTATTTCCATTCTATATATTTTGGACTTGCTTTAAACTTTGGTTATAAATTCTTGAAGTGAAATATTCGGTTATTACTTTAGATATATCTTATTTTCTAATATAACCATATAAAACTCTAAACTTCCCACTAAAGAATATTTCAGCACAACCCCCAAATTATGATATGTTGTATTTTTGTTGTCATTCAAATAGTTGAAAATATTTTCTAATTTTTTCTCGTGATTTCCTCTTTGGTCCATATTTATTTGTAAGGATTTAATCTCCAGATATTTAATGTTTTCCTAGATATTTTGCTGTTATTCATTACTAATATCATTTAGTTCTGTTTAAAAATACTCCGTTGTGTGATTTTTTAAATTCTTTTTTATTTATTGAGATATATGTCACCGCAAATGATCTATCTCAGTGACTACACAGTGTGTTTAAGAAGCATGTGTATTGGGGCACCTGGGTGGCTTAGTGGGTTGAAGCCTCTGCCTTCAGCTCAGGTCATGATCCCAGGGTCCTGGGATCCAGCCCCACATCGGGCTCTCTGCTCGGTGGGGAGCCTGCTTCCTCCTCTCTCTCTGCCTGCCTATCTGCCTACTTGTGATCTGTCTGTCAAATAAATAAATAAAATATTTATAAAAAAAAAAAGAAGCATGTGTATTCTGCAGTTATAGAATGCTGTGTTCTAGAAATATCAATTAGATAGAGGTAGGTGACAGTGTTGTTTGAATCTTCTGTCTTTACTGACTTTTTTTAGATAGCTGTTTTATCACAGAGAGCAGAGTGAGAGGTGTTAAAACCCTCCTCCATGATTGCGAACATTTCTCTCTCACTTTAATCCTGTTGATTTTTGTGTCAGGTATCTTTAGGCTCAGTGAGGCCATGCCCATGTATAGCTTGTTCAGTTGTATT